TTCCTTTAGTGATGTCATGTTTGTCATCAGTAAATTGATATTTCTTGAAGACCCAAAATCAGTTACTTTGGCATTAACTGTTGCTCCCAAATCCAATGAGAAAACCAATAAATTGTCTGGCTTGATGTCTCTGTGGATTATGCCATTGTTGTGTAAATAAGAAATGCCTCTTGCCATGTCTAACATGAATTTCACCTTGACTGCCATGCAAGGCGATTGTTCTCTTTTCTTCTTCATCAAGTCATTTAAACTGCCATATTCAGCGAATTCTGTGACCATACAGATTCTGTTTGGAACGAATACGGCGCCATAGAAGTGAACTAAATACTCACACCTGAATTTGTCCAACATTGAAACCTCCTTTTCAAATTCATGAACTTTTGCTTCGTCATCACACCCTTCTCTCAATTTCTTAATCGCAACTTTGTGTCCTCTGAACTCACCCAAATAAACTATCCCAAATGAACCTTCTCCAAGCTTCTTCTCTTCTTTTAATTCGTGGTAATCAAGTCGTGTTGTCATTTGTGTCTTCGCGTTGATGGTGATATTTTCTGTGATTTCAACACCTTTCTTGATATCAAGACCAACACAAACAATCTTCTCCTCGATGTTACAAGAACATAGCGGCTTTATAAATATTTCAAATTCACAGGCTTCCCCACTCTTCAAATTCACCAAAGCGGGTTCTGTGCGTATTGTGTAATGATCACACTCTTTTATCACACTAAATTGTATTTTCATTGGATTTTTAGATTTGTTCCCAACACATAACAATTCACGAGTTTCTTTGTTGACCGGGATTTCATTGTTAGCACTGCTTTCGTCAATAAATAACATTTTTTCTTTGTTGACTACAAGCCAGTCATTCACTTTATAAAACATGATATTTGAACGGTTTATTTTGAACACGCAAACATTCAACATTTTCTTCTCCTTTTTGTTGTGTAAAAACAATAAGTATATCCCAACAATTGACAACGCTATTAAAGTGACTATTATTATCACAAAAACAACCGGAAGACCAATGGCCAATCCCAAATTCACTTTGTTTGTACAAGAAAGACCATCATCACTTAATTTCTTGCCTTCGACACACATTGAACACAACCCTCTTTTCGCTTCAATACAAAACTCGATTTGAGAAAAATGAACACAATTCGAGTTGATGTACACATTCTCGTTTTGACATTCGTTGCATGTGTATTGGTTTAAACATAAAGAGCAGTTGTTTATACACGTTTTGCAACGAGGGACATTGGAGTCAATGTAATACCCATTATCACATTTCTTACACCCAAACGGTGTTTTTTCTAAACACCCAACCAAACTTGAATAATTTTGACACACCAACGATTCTGATGGTATTAAAAAGAATTCCGGTTTACATGTTATACAGGAATTGAGATCTTACAAA